ATACACGATCCCTATAAATTTAAGAAAAAATTTAAACACATATCTTACCATGCGGTCACGGGTACACACGCTAGTATCTCAAAAGGTAAATAAAATTAAGATAACTAAATGGAGTTTTTTCCCACGAAGGGGTGTTTTTCAAACTTATTTCCCAAACTAAGGTACTTTTAAACTTATTTCCCAAATAGGGGTATTTTTTGCCATGTCACCTCAGTATCACTGCTGGGCGCCACATAAGCTTATCCACATCATCCCATCAATTCCATGTCATCAATTTTGAGAGTTTAGCTGCTTCTAAAATATAGAAAAAAATTGAAGCCAACAGGATTCGAACCTGGGTGGAACACAAGAAAGGCATGTATGTAAACCACTACACTACACCATTCACTTGTTAACACATGCCTTTTAAGAAGTATAAATCATGTATCCTTCACCCCGGGAGTGCACTATTTCTTAATCGCATAAAAAACTTATAAAATAAAATAAAATATAAGTAAAAATAAAATATCGTATTAAAAACTTATAAAATGAAAGAAAATATAAGTAAATTTCATGCTAGTCCACTTTAAATTCTATAAAAGGTTTAATATTAATGTAAAATATCGTATAAATTTTTCTTTATGAAAATTCTCTAACAGCTCAATTTTGTTTAGCCTCAGCTCTACTCCGCCTCGGAACCAAGCATTTTTCGTTGATAAATTTATCAAGTTTTTTCTTTCTTAGATAAATATTATATGATTTTCATGACATGAATAGTATCCGATTTTAAATTGGGGTGGGTTAGAGCCTTTCATAACATTTAGTAACAATAAATTTTAATTAAGTCTTTATTTTTAATTATCACAAACCTAGTATTTAATTCTATAAAAATGAACCGAGTCGAGAAGAGTTGAGCTGCTATAACGAAATAATCACAATGAAAAGCTTAGTTTGCGATATTTAATTCTATAAAAATGTAATTTAAATTTATAAAAAAATTGAAGTTTATAATTTAAAAGTTATTTGAAATAACTCAAAAGTAAATAAAATAAAAAATAAGTAAATTTCATGCAATAAGTAACTTAGAAATATGACTTATATTTTATTTGATTTTATTTCATTTGAAGCTAAGATATTTAAAAAAAATACATATTTCAAATTGTGTTTTGTCATTATAATTAAGTTTAAATTAATTTTTTGTATTCTAAGTTAAATATTTCTTTATTTTTCAAATTAAATTAGCAAATTATGTTTTTATTATAAGTTTTAATAAGATTTTTAATTGAATAACTCAAATTCAGTTTTTTATTATTACATTTTTTATTGTTTGGTAAAGAGATATTTCTGAAGGAACGAATAATACATGTGATTAAGAAATAGTGCACTTCATGGGTGAAGGATACATGATTTATACTTCTTAAAAGACATTTGTTAACAAATGAATGGTGTAGTGTAGTGGTTCATGTACATGCCTCTCTTGTGTTCCACCCAGGTTCGAATCTTGTTGGCTTCATTTTTTTCTATATTTTAGAAAAACACTTAAACTCTCAAAATCGATGACATGGAATTGATGAGATGATGTGGATAAGCTGATGTGGCGCCCAGCAGTGATAATGAGGTGACATGGCAAAAAATACCCCTACTTGGGAAATAAGTTTAAAAGTACCTTAGTTTGGGAAATAAGTTTGAAAAACACCCCTCCATAGGAAAAAACTCTAACTAAATGAATACAATTGAGAATTTTGTCTAAGATGTAAAAACATGAAGAACTTTCGTGTATTGGCAAAATACTTATAAATACTTTGTATACTAGAGTATACTACGTATTAAAATAATACTTTGAAAAGGGCTAGTCGATCACGTACTCATTTTATAAAATTTTAAGACCAGTTTGGTTCCTAAATATTTTAAGACTCATGTCTCATCCTGTCCCGTTTGAATTTTGTGAAATTGATCCGCGATTCAGTTCTTGTACCCATTTGCCCACCCTATTTTGACGGTATTGTATTTTATTTTAGGAGTGAGCACGGGACGGAACGGAACGGGAATTAGACTATCCCGGTCCCAAACCCGATTTAAGATAACGAGACAGAACGGGACGGGACAAGATGTTGTCCCTTTTAAATCTGTACCGGAACAGAACGGGACGGTTCGGGACATCCCAAAAAAATTGCAACGAAAAAAATACAGCTCCAAAAAGAAAGTTCATGACAAAAACCACAACACTAAAAATGCAACACATACAAAAATTTAGGATAAATTGTTGGGAATATTTTATGGTGTCGAATCTAACTAAATATCCTTGTATTTGTGGGGTTATTAGTTAAGTGTGTAATATGGGGCACAAATGTATTTCAGCCCATTAGCCCACTTGTAAGCCTTAAGTTAGACATCCTTATGTATAAAAGGATGCCAACTTAAGCAAACCCTAAGTCTCTCACAAACCTCACACACATTAACGCTCATATCTTTCGGAGAGCTTATACGGTATAAGGAAGAGGGAGTTCATCGTTCAAATATTTTTCTATCATTCTGTGATTCTCTCCTTCTATTATATCGTATCATTTGTATGATTGTTGATTGATTTTGGGATTAACATAAATGCAACACAAAATATAGTAGATTAATAGGGTAGTTGCACGAAACAAACCGTAACAACAACAATAACTCCAACACACACAATACTACTAAGAAACTACAAAATAAGTAAAAAGATAAACAATATTATTAGAAGTGAAACATGTGAAGTATACATGAGTTTCTTTTTAGTATGTAGAAGATAGTTCATACTTGATATAATTTAGATTCCCTCAGGTGTTTTACATATTAGATAGCTAATACCTAATTCATTAGTATTTGAATTGACGGTAGACTCACTAACCACAACTATATACAATTTTGAATTCGAGACAACGTGACGGAACGAGACATATTTTATTTGTCCCGGTCTCGTTTTGTTTTGAAACGGTTCGGGACCGGAACGGGACAAAAATAGTTTGTCCCGAATTTAACGGGACAATTTCGAAACAGAACCGGAACGTTCCGGAACGGACCAACGGGACCGGGTCTTTTGCCCACCCCTATTTTATTTTATCTGCAATGCGACGACAAAACAATACTTCGGTACTGCATGCCTAGTTTTTAATATGTTTTAGGATTTCTTGCAAGACAGGTCCCTGGCCGAAATGCCTAATTATATATTCTCTGTCATATCACCTATCCCAAACTGGTAATATATGCTCTCAAGTCAATAAAATCTGGTATCATTCCATTATATCTTCGAAAAATCTGACTGCATAGTTAAGAATGCTATTTTTGTTTAAAAACAGGAAAGACTACTTGTGTGTAGCATATAGACTTATAGCGATTCTTCTTATAAAGCCTTCAAAAGCAAGTATGTATTCCTTTTAATATTTTAACCCAGATTTGGTTGAAAAGTATGTATTCCCCTATCCTATTGTACTTTATCAAATTTTCTGTTTTATTTGTTACCATAATTTGGTCACTTTTATTTAGGGTCATTAACTTGTGCTTCTACTTATTTAACTTGTACAGTTGTACTACGTACGTATAGTAATCAAAATTATAGGTTTGGTAACACTCAAAGCAGAGAACATATATTTAAGTGGCTCTCACACTTTTTCTTCACAGTAACAATATCTTAGCTAAGTTTAATCTCATATATTTTGCACAATCTTTAAAAAGTGTGTGACTTATAATTTTCAGTCCTTATCTTACTTAATACTCCCTCCGTCCCGGTCATTTCTTCCAAATTTGACTGGCTCGCAAATTTAGAAAGTGTGAATAAAGTGAAATGTATGGTTGTAGTTGTGTAAGAAAAAGAAGAATGAATGTGAACCACACATTTTTTCCAAAAGTAGAAGTTGGAAGAATTAATTGGGACGACCCAAAAAGGAAAGTTGGAAGAAATGACCGGGACGGAGGAAGTAATTAAATCTAAGTCACATCTACAATTTCTAATTTTAAAAAGTCTATAGAGAATAGAACCTGATTCGGGTTACGTTAGTTCATACGTAATAATTCGGGTACCAATAATTGACCAAACTGTTTTAGCTTCCCCGCCAAATATGTAGGAGCAATTGAGCAAACCCACGACTGATTAAGTTAGATTTTATAGTACTCATAAGGTATCATATCTTTGTTCACATGGACCAATGAGAATGTTGCAATTGAATTATTTAAATCTAAATTAAAAATGATATAATAATGTGAACCACTCAAGTGAATGGATACCCCACTTTTTAAATGGGTACCAGAGTTGAAAACCATGTACCAATAATTAGGGTCACTGGTTTTGGAGCGCGCGTTTTTAGAGTAAAATTTGGGAGATAATTTAAATGTGTATGTATGTATGATGATTAATACTCATGTATTCGAGATTTAATAAATCATCAAGGAACAAGACGCCACATTCATTTTAATCAATCATAGAAACACTTTATCAAGTACCAAAACATAGACTAATCACTATCGAGAGTACTTTACTTCAAATTAGTCAATTCAAACTGCTCCCAAACTTGTGACAGTTAGGTTCGTACTCTCCTTATTTTAAAGAAATTGCTAGCTTGAAATAGAACTAAATCATAAACAAATCGTACAAATAAGAGGACTACTTATGTTTTATTTCTAAATTAAAACTTGTTTATCTTATTAAAAGTATAAATTTTGTCCAATTAGGAGGGAACGCGAATGAATCTTTAATATAGGCATGCATGGATGGGGTGCGAATCAAATAAAAATCATTCCTCCCGTGAAAATTGCAAACCGTTCACTTTTTCGACAGTATGATGTACGATTAGATTTCTATGTTGCACTTTTTTGAATTGTCAAAAATGGTTTGACCGAAGTTTCAAAAAGTGTAACAGATCACATTGGAGAAAAACAGAACGATTTTCAGTTTTCACGTTAGGATTTTGTTTTATTTGATCCAAAACCTCCATGGATGAACACTATATATATATATATATATATATATATATATATATATATATCCTTCCATACGGTTAACAACATAAGACAGTGTATTTATATACGTAGTAGTACAATATATATGGAGGGAAGTTCATCAAAGAGGAAGGTCGAGGGTGAGGAGGAAGAGGTGAAGTACCGCGGCGTGCGAAGGCGGCCGTGGGGTAAATATGCTGCGGAGATACGCGACCCGACGCGGCAGGGCGCTCGGCAGTGGCTTGGAACATATGAGACGGCGGCAGCGGCAGCAAGGGCGTATGACGAGGCAGCATTCAGACTAAAAGGCCATTTGGCAATCCTCAACTTCCCCAATGAATACTATTCTAAGCTCCCAAATCCTCCCTCTTACCTCCCGCCTTCGTCGTCACTTTCTTCTTCTTCTTCCGCACCCCGCGGAGGTAGCAGCGGGAAGAGGAATACCCCCGGAAAAACTGCTAATAAAAATGAGGTCTTTGAGATTGAGTGCTACGATGATGGCCTGCTGGAGAAGCTTCTTCAAGAAGATGACGACGACGACTAGCTAGCTATTACGTAGTAGCTAGCTAGATCGAATTGAATAAAAGTTGTACGTTCATATGTAATCTATATATGCTTACTTAGCTAGTTTCATATCATCATCATTATATATGCCTTAGCTTGCATGATCATTCATGTAGGCCAAATAAATTTCGCTGCGTTTGGGCGATTAGATTTAATCTAATTGGTCGAGAGATCGGATCCTCTACCATATATTTTAGTCAACCAACATGCACAGCTAGTAAACCTCGATCACCTAAACAAAATTCTCATGATTGAGATTTAGAAGCTGGAGGTTAATTAGTTACCCAACATGGCGTTTGGTGTATGTATTTTTGTCACCAAACTCGATCATTTCTTCTTCTTCTTTCCTCTCCTTTTCTGCCATTAATAATTAATACTAAGCGTATATATATAAGCTTGTTGATTAGTTAAGTTATACTTCGTACATACTCCCTCCGTCCCTCAATACTTTGCCATGTTTGACCGACACGGAAAATAATAAAGTAGAAACTGTGTGGTTGAGATATGTGCAGAGGAGAGAGAAATGACAGTAACCACAAATTCATTGATTAAATGGAAAACTTTCAAAGTTTTTGGGACATCCAAAAAAGGAAAGATGACAAAGTTAGAAGGGACGGAGTGAGTACTAGTTATTTGCATTTGCATTTGCATTGTATTTTTATTTTGCGAAAATTCATATCAACAACCTCATTCTCGTTACGTTCTTTACCATCATTTCTATCTCATCCGTATAATTTAGAATGTTTTTACTTGGACTGTAATTCGTCCCAGACCAGACCAGACCAGACCAGACCAGACCGGTTCAGACCGGTTTAGACCAGACCAGACTTGGATAGTTATAAAAATACAAAGAAACCAGACCAGATCAGACCAGACCAGACCAGCAAATTACAGTCCAAGTAAATACATCCTTAATCGCAATCCAAATTCAAAAGGCCGAATCTACAAAAATCCTAAATAATCAATATATATATATATATATATATATATATATATATATATATATATATATATATATATATATATATATATATATATATATATATATAAGAGGAACTTTTTAAGAGCATACAAAGCGCCACATAATCCTGACATGTCATTATAGATAACAATTACTTACTTTTTTTTATATCTTTTGTTTTTATTAGATTCTATTTTTGATTGCATATTGATATGGAAACAAAAATCCTTATAAATCCACATTAATTAATTTGGTAAGCTTCAAATAAGTAAAATAATTTTTTGTTATCAAAGTGAAATTCTAATAACGTTTATTGATATGGAAACTAATTTATACGTAGTATTAGTTTACTACACCGAATTAAATAGAAACAAATATGCAAATTAGTTTACTTACTAATTTGACACCTATTAGTAAATTAGTAAGCTTCAAATAAGTAAATAATTAAAAATGAAATTTAAAATTATAACCAATTCAACATAAAGTATATATATTTTTACAAGTAAATATGTTTAGCTTAGTCAAATAAGTAAATTTTTTTGGTTGTTTCTTTATGTTACACCTAAAATTCAAATATGACTTCACTTTTGAAATAGATTCCTAATCCAAATTAGAAAATCCTTATAGGTTTACGAATTCCTACTTTTATTTTACTAGAATGTTTTTAATTGGATTGATTTCAATTCCAGATTAAATCAGATCAGATCAAACTTTAATAATTATAACAATAAGTCACAAAACAAACAGACATCTAATAGACCATATTAATTCATACCAAATCAAACCCGAAATTTTAATTCAATTAAAAACGTTCTTATTAATCAGTAAACTGTAAGATCTAACAATTAAGAAATATAGAGTTTTTTTATTATTGGGTTCATAACAATTATGTTTACTTGAGATGCTTATGTAGAAGACCAATTTAACTTTTTTTCGTATAGTTTTTTCTTTGTTTCAAAAATGGAATATATTTCACATATATTTTTCATGATTCTGAAGATTCCACCTATTTAACCAGAATTCAATCAATTTCAGCAAAATAAGTTAATTCTATTTACTTTAGTATTATCAAACAGACTCTATATTAGACTAAGTTTATTTTTCTTTTAAAACACATTATATGTGATCCGATAGAAATTAAATTTCAAATTAGCTAAATTACATACTGCTCGTGCTTCGTACGGGCTTGAAAGCTAGTTTACTCCGTAATATAGATAATACTCCCTCCGTTCCTAAATTAACTTCCAACTTTCCTTTTTCGTCCGTTCCAATTAAAACTTCAATTTTCCTTTTTTGGTAAAGAATTTATGGTTCACAACATTTTTTACACATTTTTCTCTCTTCTTCACAACTCTCCACCACACAATACCCACATCTTAAATTGTGTATCAAACCTATTTAGAAAATAAAATAGAAAGGGAGGTAGTATTACACTGTAAAACACACTTCAAAGCCGAATCGTATAGACGAATTTAGATACTTACGGATCTCACATAACCCTCACAAGTCGTTTCATGCATGATTATAGCTAGCTTCTTTAGGCATATTCAGTTATCGATCAATATAAGAAAGCTTCTTCCATTCGAGTGGGTTAAGGGAATGTTTGGGATTGCGGGCTTCTAATTCAAAAAAGTGATTTTTCAAAGTGATCTTGAAAAAGTGCTTAATAGTTCTTAATAAAAGTTGTTAGTGTTTGAAAAAAGTGATTCTGAGAAAATAAAGGTTGGTAGTTTTGGTAAAATAAGTCACTTTTGTGTAATAGAAATAGTGAATAACAGTTTAAAGTAACCTTCCATCTACTTCCGGCTTTTAGCTTTTAAGTGCTTAATTTAAGCAAAAATTGTCATGTTACAACACCCTTTTCTACTTTTTTAAGTAAAAAGTAGAAAAGCCCTTTTTTAAGTTTTAGCAAACACTACCTAAGGAAGCTACACACGAATATATTTTTTCATTATATAAACCAGGAAAAATAAAATTGGCCCCCCAAATCAATATTTTGCCCCCCCCCCCCCCCTAAAAAAACTATAAATTTGCTTTCTCAAATTTTAATTAAATATTTTCTTAAGGGTTAAAGTGAATGAAATAAAAATTAGAAATTAAAAGTTAAAAAGTGAGACATAGTCTATATGAATCTATTACTATGAACGGTAGTTTATACTTTTAAACAAAACTCTATGAAATTTTGAAGGCAAGTCCAATTCCTAAAAATAGGAATCCAAAGTGACATGACTATAATACTCTGTATTCTGTATGAAAATAAAATGAAATAATTTTCACAATTAAGTTTTCGATTACAAAGCATTGATTGAAGAATTTATCTATTTCGAGGAATATAATGTCGAACACAATTTTAAGTAGGGCTGGTTCGGTATGACATACCGAAATTTTTATGCCATACCGCATACCGTACCGAAATGCCGGTATTTATAAATATCATACCGTAACCATACCGAAAGTTTCGGTATACCGAAAATTCGGTACGGTATATAACTCATACCGTTTTATACCGAAAATTCACAACACTAAACTTTCAAGACAATTCCGTATAAAGCATCGGCATAAGGGGCCTTCCGAACATTCAAAAAAACTGATTTTGGATATGTCAAAAGTAGCAAACGACATCAATTACATAAACTTATACCAAAAGTAAAACACAATATTTAATCCAAAGTAGAAAATATTGTGAGATGATCCAAAGTAAAACACAATATTTTGGATATTTTCTGTTTCAGATTTAAGTGTGGCCGGTGATTCAGCTGGACTAGACAGCGAGTGAGATGATTCAGATTCCATTAGCAATGCTGAAATTGTAACAAATATCATGTTAATCAATTTTGAAAAATATACAGAATATTAGTTCCTTAGTCTACCATATTATTTGCAATCAATCCTTTCAAAGAAACAATTATATAAGTTAGGTTAGTCATGCAGATTATATAGAAACAAAAATTGGAAGGATGTGGAAATTGCAGATTATAAAACTAAAGGAATAAATTAAGGTCATGTAGTCATGCATAGATTATATAGAAACAAAAATTGGAAGGATGTGGAAATTGCAGATTATAAAACTAAAGGAATAAATTAAGGTCATGTAGTCATGCATATCCCACTTTTTTGTCATTACACAAGCTTAGTCTAAGTAGAGTAATTTAAGGTCCCTCAATGCCTCAGCTTGGAAAGAAAATGTTATGAAGCCACAGTTAATTTTAGATGAAGTAAAAAACAATTTTCTTGTAGTTCAAAGTCTAGCAGAATTCATCAAAATGATACATCAGGTTGAAGCCTCAAAAGGTGTTGCATAAATCTATTGCCCAAGCTATCCTTATAGTCGGAGAATCACACAAGCTGCAAATGTAAAACAACAAGCTGCAAATGTAAAATAGCAAATGTAAATCTATTTGATGTAAATTATGATTATTCACTTACCTTTTTGTTCTAAGACTTTACGAAGTCACAGCCAACAAGTCAGATCTCAAAACTTTAAACATGCAAACAGAGCAATACAGAAAGTAAAAGACACACGATATGTTGACGTAGTTCGGAAGAAAATCTTCCTAATCTGCGGGGTTTCAACAGGGGAATCCCGGTCCCAAACAGATCCACTTGCTCAGAAAAGTTCTTACAATCAAGATGGTTGCAAAGCAATTAAACTATGACCAGCGACTACACACAATTAACAGACAAACGAATCATAACGATTAAACCAAGAGAAAGTTCAGAGTTAACCGAAATCGAATCCAGTAAGGAAATTTGAATGCAGAAGAAGACTCCCGAATTAACCAGTAGGCGACTTCAACGAACAGGCTTCCTCCTTTCTCACAATCGTCACAATAGGATGTCCTCAATCGTAGCAGTTCACAGATCTCACAGACTCTCTCAAGTTTCTCTCTCTAGGGTTTATCATGAAATATGCAGCGGAACAGTACCGGATAGAGGATAAAGGATATATAAATATCCTTCCAGCTTGAGCAGATAAGCCTACAAAAATACCGGACCCAAAGGAATTGGCCCACTATAAAAGGCTAAACCGGACCGGCCCAATACTATAGTCCAAAAGCCCCTTACAAGAGATAACCCAAGGAAATTAAGCCAAATCTAATTGCTTTACCATCCTACCTTAATTATAAGAGATAGAACACATGAGAGAATTAGGATTAAAACTATTCCAACAATTTGCCCTCCTAAGACTCATTCTCATTCAAAAAACTCCAATAGGAGTATCATCATAGCCAGTTTTGTAGGATCTGTGAGACATGAATTTCCCCATTCATCATCAACCCAGTTTGGAACCTTTTTATCAAGGTACCTCAAAGATTTTGAAGAAGCTCCTGCAAAAAAGAAATTTATCAGTAGGGACAATTTTAGTTCCAAAATCAGGAGGATTCACATCTCCTAAAATCTTTTCCAAATTAACATTACCCTTTGCAATTTCATCTCTTATGTAA